ATCATTTTCAGCAAATGCGCAACCAATCTGAAAACAAAGATATACCAGAGAAACCTAATTGTAACTTAAGTCATCATTATTTTATAATTGTTATTTTTATTTTTAATAGATATAATTGATAATATTATTTTTAAGTCCGTATTACGTCACAAGAACTCCCACCAATCAGATATAACTCTCATAGGGTCGCAATCAAGAGCTTAAGTGATTAGCTTTCAGTCTATACCCCCTTTCATTTTTCCTTTACAGTCCCTTTAAGCGTACTGGAGGACTTTTTTCCATTTAGGAAAGTCGTCTTCATTGTATTGATTTAAACGCCGACCACTGTGCATATATTCTGTCACGTAATTCCCATATTTGAATATCTATAATGAAACATTTTACAACAAAAAAGTTTTATTAAAAATTTTTGAGTAGGAGTTCACTTGTAGAAGAATATCCTGGACATTTTGGTGTTGAATATTTATTCATGCTCGATTGGGCCTCTTGTATGATTAGTCTTTGGTAAATGTAAAAATTATGCATTCTCCATATTGGATTAATGTAACAAAAACTTAAAGGTCATCGGATAGATTCATATCCACTCAGTGCAGGGGGCAGAAAACTTTAGGCTAGAAAAATGGAAAAATAAAGTTTTAAAATTTTGGGAAATTTTTGAAAATTCTAGGAGACTCAGTTTCGTCTCTTACTTTTCTGGGCAATTGACGGAAACTTAAGAGTGAACAGTAAACGAAACCGAGTTTGTTTTTTAAGTTCTTGTTCTGATTCTAACTCAAGTTTTTTCATAAAGGGTTGACAAATCTAAGTTCGGGCAGTTTAAGGTTTTCAACAAATTGATATTTACTGAAATAAATCAGGTTTCGGGCGTAGGGAGCCATTGCCTATGTTTTAATTGTATCAAGCTTTGTCACTTAAAAATTTATCAAGACTAAATGTCACTTACACCAGTCATCCAAAATCACCATTATTTGGCAAATTCTTTCAAGGTTGACTTATCAAAATAAAAAAAATAATCCGGGAATGTTTAAACTAAAAGTGAGAAACTAGATAAAAATCAATTAAAGCGAGGAATGGGTTGCTTGGTCCCAATGAGTCCTACATTTCTACATCCGAGCCCCAGAATATGCAGAAAGACCTTCGAGCCACATGCTCGAAATATGAAATTCCAGGCTACTAGAGCTAGTTTCGTGGGACTAAATGACATTTTGTCAATTATGCGGTTCAGAGGTAGAAATGTGAGGCTCACAGCCGCTGAACAACCCCTCCCTCCAATATCTAGTCTTTATAAATGTCAAATGTTGATTCTACAGCAGAGTCCTTAGTAGTTACCCTTTCCTCATCCAACCAACATGATTTCGGTAATATAATACAGTTAGTAGTTACCCTTTACTCATCAAACCAACATGATTTCGGTAATATAATACGGTAGTAGTTACACTTTACTCATCAAACCAACATGATTTCGGTAATATAATGCAGTTAGTAGTTACCCTTTACTCATAGAACCAGCATGATTTCGGTAATATAATACAGTTAGTAGTTACCCTTTACTCATCAAACCAACATGATTTCGGTAATATAATACAGTTAGTAGTTGCCCTTTACTCATCAAACCAACATGATTTCGGTAATATAATACAGTTAGTAGTTACCCTTTACTCATCAAACCAACATGATTTCGGTAATATAATACAGCTAGTAGTTACCCTTTACTCATAGAACCAACATGCTTTCGGTAATATAATACAGTTAGTAGTTACCCTTTACTCATAGAACCATGATTTCAGTAATATAATACAGTAGTAGTTACCCTTTACTCATAGAACCATGATTTCAGTAATATATTATCTTGATTTTCAAAAATTCTTTAACATTTGTGTTCTCTGTCTGTATTTTTTTCTAATTAAAGTTTAACGTTTAAGAACGTTTTTAGTTATTCAGGTTATCTTATGACTAACATTTACCCCACCCTCCCCCAAACTTTTTTAACCTTGAAATACCGGTAAGATACAGGGTGTCCCATTTAACTTGACAGTGCAGAAGATTAAATAACAGGAGACATTAACAATTTAGTTAAGATTTAAATGTATTAAATGAAACAAAATAATCTAATCTGATCGAAATTTTTAATATCTTCGGTAATTTTGGAAGCATTTTGTAAATAGTCGACAAAAGGTATTGTGTCATTATTCTTTCAAGAATTTTACTTGTAACATTTTTTCAAAGATTAAAAAACGATTTTCGATTCGTCTCTGTCAGATTTTGTGGGACACCCGTATCATATTGCGATGCAGAGGAATGGTGTGATCATGAAAACTTTTATTCTTCAATTGTTCAGACTTGGGACAATTCACATTTCGCAGCAGATTAAAACTTTAATAACTTTTAATTGTTGCTCTGTCATAGTTTTCTTGTGGATTTGATTTTGACACATTTTTGATGCACATTTTTTAATTCTACCATCTATAAATCTTACTTGTGATCATGTGAGGTCCCACAAAAAATTTGGGCTCGTTCGTTTTAGCCGTTTTGACGATTATCGGTTACAAACAAACAAATAGACACCCAGATAAGCAAAGTCTAGAATTTTACTTATAAAATTAAGTTGACAAAAAAATGCAAGAAATTATATTAAAAATCAAAAACGACGTTCAAGTCGTCTTGCTTCTGTCTTTTTTCGTGGGACAGTCTGTATGTTCATGTTTTTCTAACTAAAATTAAAGTTCTTAAAAGCAACTTGTTAATAATCTATGGTCAAGCTGTATCTAACTATGTATAAGTAGTCCTGGCAGTGGTGACCTATATATCCTACGGTCAAGCTGTATCTATGTATCTATATTTAATGTTTCGTCAAAATCAAAAAAAGTTCACATTTATCCAACTTTTTAAAACAAAAATTGAATCACAAATTACCTTGAACTGCTAATGACTGTGGGTTAGAGGATGGCATGGCTCCAGGTCGTAGTCTTTTCGAAGCCCTATTAAGGTCATCAGGAGAAAAATGGTCTGGGCATATCACACTCCAATTTTTCGGATTCCAGGAGGAAGGTTGGCCTGTAAATTTCGCCCATGCTACTCTTAGGTCATTTTTCGGAAACGAAAAAAAGATTTTATCTTGACTGGTATTATTATTTTCACAAGATATTACACTGCAGTACCTCATGTTCATATATCACAGGGCCCACTGTTTATCAACACAGCTGTACAACTTTCCTAGTCTTTGGACCCTGAACTTTCCTTCAGATATTAATTCTTTGTAAACAAAAAAAAATCTATTTTGAATAAAAAAAAATAAAAAATTGTATAAAAGAAACATTAAAAAAAAAAACATAAATATGCCCCTAAAATAAACACAACAAATCTAGGGTCCGGTTTGCTACATCAGCTGGTAGGCCCATGGAAAAAATTACCAAAATAAAATTTGTACTGTGGCCGAGTTCAGTGTAGATAGATAGATAGAATCATATCTATAAGCGGGCCGCGTTTTTCACCCTGCTATTAAAATTTCAAATTTCATACCTAATTTGTCTCATTGAAGGATGATAAAGTTACTTAATCACCCTGCAACAGGGTGATAAAATAACTTTATCGGCCTGCTTTTAATAATTTGAGTAAAATTGAATAAAACTATATATGTTATTGAAATGGGTATCATGCGTGCGAAACTAAATAATACCCATAACAATAGCATAAATTGATATAATAATTTTAATTGTTGTTCTGTTATAGTTTTTTAGTAGATTTGATTTTGACAAATTTTTGAGGCAAATTTTTTAATTCTAACCATCTATAAATCATTCCTGGGATCATGTGAGGTTCCAAAAAAAATTTGGGCTCGTTCGGTTTAGCCGTTTTGACGATTATCAGTTACAAACAAACTAACAGACACCCAGACAAGCAAAGTCTAGAATTTTACTTCTAAAATTAAGTTGACAAAAAAATGCAGGAAATTAAATAAAAAATCAAAGACGACATTCAAGTCGTCTTGCTTCTGTCATTTTTCGTGGGACAGTCTGTATGTTCATGTTTTTCTAACTGAAAATTAAATTTCTTAAAAGCAACTTATTAATATTCTACGGTCAAGCTGTATCCATCTATCTATAGGTAGTCCTGGTAGTGGTGACCTATATATCTTGCGGTTAAGCTGTATTTATCTATATATATAGGTAGTCCTGGTAGTGGTGACCTATATATCTTGCGGTTAAGCTGTATTTATCTATATATATAGGTAGTCCTGGTAGTGGTGACCTATATNGAGGCAAGTTAAACAAGATAATAAGGGATTTAGAGGCAGGTTAAACAAGATTATAAGGGATTTAGAGGCAAGTTAAACAAGATAATAAGGGATTTAGAGGCAGGTTAAACAAGATAATAAGGGATTTTCATCTATCTTGATATTTTCCATAATTCAAATTCACTAGGCTTTGAGAGAGCTTTCTTAATACCACCAACATTGCCTTTTAACTGTTTCTTTGACAAATTGCCATTTTTAATCGTTCTCAAATTTGCGAATTTTTCTGTATACATTATTTGAGCTTTTTAGAAATGATAAATGAAGACATTTTTGTAAACCTTTCCTGAGGGGGTGACTGTGAGTTGGTACAGTGAATACGAATACATCGGAAGAATTTATCAAATGTCGTCTTGACAATTTTTCGATGAGTTTTATACTATATTATGTAAATTTCAGTTTTGGCGAAAATAAATAAATAGCCATGAATATGCGGGAACAGTTTTAAAGAGTTCCATATAATCATTTAATTAAAAAAACTAAATAGCTGCAACATTCTATTATCAGAAATTGAAGAATACGACATTTGAAGAATTCTTTCGATGTATTCTTTATTAAGGGTTTCACTGTATAAAAACTTGCGCCCAATCATTTTCGCCGTTTTGACCAAGCAAGCAGAGGGTCAGACACACAAGCCAAATTTAAATGAATTCATGGTGAAGTGTGAAAAAATAATGGTTTCATATAAATAACATTAAAACTAATTTGGCTTCTTCTCTTCATTATCTGAAATTTTCAGGTTTCAGTTCGTCACAGGAGACAGGATAATTTAGGTCAAGGTGAATTTCACGCAATTATTAAAAGATAAATGAAATTTAAATATGTTTTCAATCAAGCTTATAAAGAGGCAGAATGGGATTCCTGTTGTGTGCAATGCCCCGTAAAATTCCAAAACAGAGAGGGGGATTGAATTTTGTAGATCCAGAAAAATAATATCTGTGGGATGCCTGCGTAGAGACTTGCAGCTGGTACGGTGGGGTCTTAAATGTGAAACATGTGGCTGCAGCGCTCGTCCCCCTAGCTGCAATGCTCGGCCCAGAAAGTGCCTTAATCTAACCTAACCCTAGATAAATACTAATTTAATTATTTTTCTGAATCTACAAAATTCAATCCCCCTCTCTCTGTTATGGAATTTTACGGGACATTGCACACAACAGGAATCACACTCTAATTCAAGAAGATCAGCCAGAGGTTTATATTAGTAACTAAAAGTTTGTGAAAACACGAACCTCTGTCAATATACATAATTCTTTAAGTTTATCCAGCAGGGTATGTCATAGCTAGGGTTTCAAGCGGAATTGCGCGCAATGATTGCTTCCGCTTGCGCCATTTTATCGCGCAGAATTTAGCTATAATTGCGAACAAGGAAACAATATTCGCGGAATTGCGTGCAACGAAATTGTTTTGCAAAGGCTTTTCCAACTAAAAATCGATAATTTTGAACTGTGCCTTCTCAATTTTTGCAGCAGAGACAAGAACGGAAATGGACAGAAATTATCTCCGTAGTCCACAGATTTTTATTTAATTTTTCAAATTTTAAAGTTTCTTGTGGTTAAGCTATTAATCTAATTAACAATTTAATATGATACATTTTTTGTTGTAAAATTGTAAAATTGGTATAGGGAGACAATATTACAGTGAAATTTCTGTCATTACATAGCAAAAAATTTTATTTTATAGGAACTTATTAAATCACTTATTCAGTTAAAACAGCGCCAGAGCTTTTTGGTCATCATGCTGTAAATAAATACAGGGTGTCCCAATAAACAAGGGAATTAAGTGACGACTTTTATATCGTCTTCGCTCAATGGGACATTTTTTCCTGAACACAATAATTCCAGTTCACACAACTATCGGAAACACCTGCTCTTGATATTTTCAAAATGTGGTCTACCATTTTTTTTCTTCAAAATTGACGAATTTATTGCAAAATATTTTACAAATTTCAATTCATTTGAATTTGATGAATAAAAATTCTCCGAAAGACTGAAAGTCTAATGTCTTTTAAAGACATACGAAAGGTAGACAACATTAAGGAAAGCTCGTAAGACGTACACCTTTATTTTTATACCTTCTGTGCTATACATTAAATATTAGAAATCGAAGACGACTTTCAAATCGTCTCTCAATTCCCATGTTTATTGGGACACCCTGTATAGTAAAATAAGAAATTAAGTTAAAATTCAATTTTCTTAGCATTTGAGACGGAAATGTTAGTGAAGTTCAGTTTATAATATGCCACTAACAAAGTTTAAATTGTTTGTTTTAAACTCATGTTTTGTTGATCAGAATTGCGCAATAATTAATTGCATTTATTGCTTTCCATTACGTATAAATTGAATATTCTCAAAAGTTTCTAAATCAAATTCTTCTTATAATTTCACCATTTTGAGAATGGGTGCAGAGAATTCATTTAAAAAAAAAAAAATTTACCTTATATAATTTTCACTTACTGGTTTAAGTCAAACTAGCTAATTAACTTAAATTATCCAATATTGTTTGCTTTGTAACATCAAAACGCTAAAGCATTGCTATAATGTGAATGGGTGCATAAAATTCATTTTAAAATACAATTTAAATATTTTAATTAATACTTACTTATTAAAATAATTTGCACTGGCTCGTGTTTTTAAATCAAACTAGCCAATTTTCATAAATTATTCAATATTTCCCGGTATATCGCTACAGTGATAACCAGAAAACTCTGAAACAGGAAGACGACTTTTAAACTCAAGTTAGGACTTAAACTAGTTCAATAAACATTAAACATAGAAATAATAATGTAAATAGACCCATTTCACTTAGAAGTGCTTCGAGATGTTACTTGCAACGATATTTGCTTTGAAACATCAAAACGCTATCGCATATCTATAATCTCGTTTTTCTATTCCATTATTTTCTGGTTATCACTGTATTGTGTCATATTGAATTATATTGGGGTTAATTTGACTATACTTGGATTGGCTTAAAGCCGATTTTACGTTAAATGTTAAACAAACAGTAATACAAGCAATCATTTAAGACAGTCGTCTAGGGCTTTATTGGTCCTGCAAGCTACAAGTCAAAATAAGTCAAAACTTGTAAAAATGTTATTTTTTTTTAATTTTAAGAAAAAAATGCTTCAATCGATCGAATCATTGAAAATCCCCCTGTCTGTTAGAAATGATGATTCAGATGTTGTCGATGAAATAGAGGATGCTAGAGAGGAGTTTATTGATGAACTGGACACTGCTATGACAGAGCTAGTGGCTGGAGTCACAGGAGAGGTAGGACAAGGAGAAGAGAAAGACTTCAATATTTCGGAATGTCGTCTTTGGCCGAGTCCAAGGATTAAATAAGTTCCATGGATTTAGGCCTTCTGATATAGGTCTATTGGTATTGACACGATGATCCAGGGTGTACCAATAAACATGGGAATGAAATGACGACCTCTATACCGTCTTTTTTCCAAGCAGGATTATTTCGTAAACATAATTTTATAATGCTACGTCACAGATACAACATGGAATACTGAAAAACCAAATTTTAAAAAGCTTTTTTGACTTTCAATGGTTTTTTTTTGCACTTTGTCTTTAATCATTTGTCGAAATCAATGACGATATTCAAGATGTCTCTCAATTTCCATGTTTATTGGGACACCCTGTAATTTTAGAGGACTTTATTTCTATTGGCCTATTCGTCACGTGTCAAAATTTTTACACTTGTAAAAATCTTACGATGCCATGAGCAATGAACATGGTCAAATATAAAGATTAAGGAAGATTAGTTTCTATACAGGGTTTTCTTCTGACCTACGCAAATCCGCTATACTCCACTTCAGACTTACGCCAAATCCACTATACTACACATCCGACCTACTAGCACGTGGTTTTACAGCTGCTAGATGGACTTGTGGCCGTAGCACTCGGCCCCCTAGCCTGTCCTAGCCGCGGCGCTCCGCCCAGAAGTTTTCTAAACTAACCTCAAATACTACAAAAATATACAGCTTGCGTGGGTCCGATATTGTAGTAGGTCAAAAGTTCAGTAGGGGGATGTTGTGCACAGACAAAGTAACATTACCGGTTACCTATAGTAAAATGAGTATATACCCAAATCCGGCAAGTAGGAGTACTTATCTATAGGGGATACCCCGAATTACCAACGAAGGCTGAATAAGTAAAAAACCCATCAAATCAAATTAAATCCAATCAATCAAATCATAAGGTTTAGGGATTGCTTTAGGCTCCTTTATACATCAACCATCATTACGGATAAATACAGGCTAAGCTACACAAACAGGAGAAGATACGAAATAGCAATGTGAGAACAAATTTTATTGAAATAAATCTGATCAGCTGATCCAAACTTGAAGAAAATACAAGATTCCCACTTTACAAAAAAAAAATATACATAGATCACTAGATGTTATTTAGCTAGAAAATTGAATCTTTGCTTAAAAAATATCCTTTTGATGGTAACATATTATATAGTACAAAAATGGGTAGAAAAAATCTCGTATTTTGGAAGTATCGATATCATCACTGGTAATTTTCAATACAATAATATCAATCAAATTATTTTTTTCCAAAATAAGTGCAGGTTTATAAGGCACCATCTGACTTACTATTGTATCAAAAAATATTTGAATGTGCCTGGAATGTCAAGTTAATATCACCGAGTTGTAACATTAGAATCTTAATCATAGAGATATACATAATCTAGTCTTCTTATTGTATCCAAGCTTTCCTATTTTATCTCATTATGAACACGTAGCTTCTGCATCCATTGAATCCTACAATAAACGTATTAAGTACAGTGTTTCAATCTAGACACAGTCATCGGTAATCGGTTAATAGTTTTAAATATCATCTTTACTAAATTAATAGCTGTGCTATGCAGTGCAAATTTCCAGAAGAGTGTAACAACGTGTTGCGAGTTGTTGAAAATACACGCAGCCTTGACTGTCATTGTAATACAAGTGACCTTTTCCTTCAAGAGGGGCATGACCAATGTACGTTGGTATCCTTGAAACTTTGATCTCCGCAACAATGACGTAAATTTTATCTCTCTAAATCTTGACAATTTTTAATTGCTGTTTCTCCTGATATTTGAGTTGCGGATTGACACAGAACAATGCATGGATAACATTCTTAACATACAATGAATGGATGACATTCATGACATACAACGTACAGATGGTATTCATGACATACATTGATAAATGAAATTCATTGCATACAATGAATAGATGACATTCATGACATACAATGGATAGATAACATTCATGACATACAATGGGTGGATGATATTCATGACATATAATAAATAGATGACATTCATGTCATACAAGGGATAGATGACATTCATGACATGCAATGGATGGATGACATTCATGACATGCAATGTATGGATAACATTCATGAAATACAATGGAAAGATGACATTCATGAAATACAATGAATGGACGACATTCATGACATACAATGGAAAGATGACTTCAAAACATATAATAAATAGATGGCATTCATGTCATACAATGATGGATGACATTCATGGCATACAATGGATGAATAACATTCATGACATACAATGGATGGATAACATTCATGAAATACATTACATTCATGACATACAATTGATGGATGACTATCATGGCATACAATGGATAGAATAAAAGAAAAACTGATGCAAGAAATATTTATGCTCGTATCGCAAAAATAATCAAATCTGAATGATGATATCTGATGACATTTTCATGTTTCAACTTAAGAAGGATACGATGTATATTTATGGAATGAGTTTTAAAGATTATGGAATGAAAGTACAGTACAGTACAGTACAGACCTGGCAGTGTTTAAATCTTCTCCTTTCCTCATTCTTGATATAACCATCAGAGACACCTTAAAGAAATGATAAAATGTGAGAATAATTGTCAAACAATATTTGGATTTAGTTTCAACACAATATTTCTATTTTCAAAAATTTGAAAACTTAATTCATTTTACAATTGCAAAGAAGAAGTGTGGAATACTGATAAAAATGGTCGGGGGAGGTCTAACCACTTTAATAAAAGATGATTTTTTTTAAAATAAAAAATGTGACCTCGTGCTCTTTGAAATGGGTGGATGTCGTCCTCAATGAATCTATCTTTGCAGCAACACTCATCAGACAGGTGGTGATGTAACCAATTCTAAAAGTAGTTTATTAGCATTATTATTTTACTTAAGGGGATGGTGGAGATGTCCTATTTGATGTCCCTCAGTACCAATTTTCCATTTTTTGGGCTGTAGGTCTAATTTGTGTTCTAATTTCTAAGAATAAAAAATTAGACGAGTAATTGACCTCTAATGACAAATAGAAAATGTTTTAACTATGGCTTTATGCATATCAAACGAAAGCTAGGAACCCAGGCAATACACTAGCAGCAACGAATCCAGTGTTCGACTTTTTAATGACCTTCAATGAAATCTAATGACCTCCAAATTGAAAATGATTTAACTATGCCTAGAAAAAACAATTAAAGATCAACATGCACGATTCACCTTCGCCTAAGAAAAATTTGATAAGACCGCCATGTCTCTCTGGAAAGAGGAAGCTCAGACAAAGGATTAAAATTGTCAGAATTAAATGCTTTTCTAGACATGAACATAACGACATCTTCCTTCCAGTTGTTCAGATAAAGGTTAAAAGGGTACCAATATGTGAATCTGACATGCAACTGTTTCCAGTCACTTGAATTATTACGTCAACAGTCCCTTTAATTGAATAAATTATTTTTCAACAAAGAATGTCTTTCTTATTTCTCAGAGGCAAATATGTTTCTAATCATTCTAAAAATAACAAGTTTTTCTAAAGGTTTTTCTTATCTTAAGTTTTAAAGAAGAAAAAACTAATGTTTTTCAAGAGAAACTACATGTAAAAGCGAGTGTTCGCGAAAAATGAAAGGGGGTATAGACTTACGGCGAAAAATAAGCACTTTAGATCGCTACTAATCTTACTTCTATCTGTTGTGTCTGTAAGTAGAAAATTGTTAAAAACGACTCATACTAAAAGCGTAGCGTCCATACAAATTCAGAAAGTTGAAAAAAAAACTAATTATTCAGATATTACAACCAATAGTCATCGATTATTTTTCGACGCATTCGTATATAGTTGATATATTATAATATTTCTTTATTTTTGATTTGATAGTTAATTTTGAAAACACTTATTCCTGTTTCGAGGATTTTTTGTAATGAAGACGACATTTTCATATTTTCCAGGAATGTTCGATAATCCAGCGCCAGCCAATTACTTAAAAAAAACAGGATCAAAACTATTATGACTAACTAAATACGAATGCGTTGAAAAATAATCGATGACTATTGTTTGCATTATTTGAATTATTTGTTTGAAATTAAATTGATTATTTTACGATCCGAGTCGTATATTGCAACTTTCTGAATTTGTATGGACTCTTCGTTTTTAACAATTTTCATCTGATAGACGCAACAGATAGAAGTAAGATTAGTAGCGATCAAAAGCGCTTATTTTTTGCCTTAAGCCTATACCCCCTTTAATTTTTTGCGAACACTTCCTTCATGAGATATAAGTTAAAGTATATAAAAGAAAATTTTTACTACAATTAATTGTTAACTAGCAAATAATAAATTATACAACTGCACCTACCTGCATGTGTGACATTTAATGAAGATGACGCACTGTTCACTCTTGCAATCCAGACGACCCTTTACAGACCATTTCCGCCCTGTAAATCAGGATTGCCAAATAAAATGTTAACCAAGATTACTTAAAAGATATCCTATTGCAGGGGAAATTAACTCAAAAACTAACACTTCAGTAAGTATTAATCCAACAAAAATTATCTTATGAAGACTAAATTACCTGAGCTGAAAACTTTAGAATGGTGGATATCGGGATTAATGCTTGATCCTCTTTTTTTGATAATCTCAAGATTAACATAATCTTGCAAGATAATCTTAACAGTGTATGAAAAACGATAAAATTCAAATTAATATTTAATCATCTGAGAAACTGTAGCAGCCAATCAGAGAAAAGCGGGCAACCAATGAGAGAACAGAAATATCCTCATTGGAGAAAACAATTAACGGATATCCAAGGAGAGAGAAAAAGAGTGGATTAGGACAAAAATGAAAAGTTTCCACAGTGGATATTCGGATCAAGAATTCAGGATTAAAGTTTATCCATTCTAAAGTTCCCAGCTCAGAGCTGGGAACTTTAGAATAGGATATCCTTAATCCCGATCGGTTAATTAATCTGGAGATTAATAACAACTATTATTTATTCCGGAGATTAAGAAAAAGAGGAGATTAAGTATTAATCCCGATATCCACCATTCAAAAGTTCCCAGCTCTGCTGAATTATTTCTAGAATCTAAGTTTACACATTTAACTGTTAAATTAGAGAATATCGATAATTTCTTTTCTAGTATTTTAAACAAACAGTTTCCCGCATTTCTGGTGAAATCTATAATGTAGGAACAAAGTGATATTAACATTTTTACTATTCAATGCCGTAATTATTATTATTATTATAAAAGAACAGTTTAATTTATTTTCTATTTTATTTCTATTTTACCTTATAAATGCGTAAATGCTAAAAAATTGACATTGATATGAATTCAAGTTTGTGTCTCAAAACCAGGATATGTTCCAAAAACGCGACAAGAGCAGAAATGCTGTATTTGTTTCTAAATAGGGATATGTTCGAAAATGAAATCATAATCAAAAAATAATTCTTATACATTACTATTAATTTAAAATTGACATTTAATTGTTTCAATTTGTAGTTTTAGCTATTTTTAAATTCTTTGATTAATACGGACGTATACCGAGCCTTGAGTATTGGCTGAGAGTAGAGAGCCTTGAGTTCTGGCAAGAGATAGAGATAGATATGTTCTCATTAGACTTTGAGTAGAGTTATCATTGAAGTTATAGCATCTAGATTTACTACAGTCCTATTTGATGTACCTCAGTACCAATTTTCCATTTTTTGGGCTGTAGGTCTAATTTGTGTTCTAATTTCTAAGAATAAAAAATTAGACGAGTAATTGACCTCTAATAACAAATAGAAAATGTTTAAACTATGGCTTTATGCATATCAAACGAACGCTAGGAACCCAGGCAATACATTAGCAGCAACGAATCCAGTGTTCGACTTTTTAATGACCTTCAATGAAATCTAATGACCTCCAAATTGAAAATGATTTAACTATGCCTAGAAAAAAACAATTAAAGATCAACATGTGCGATTCTCCTTTGCCTTTAATAAGATCGCAATGTCTCTCTGAACAGAGGCATAAAGAGAATAGAATATATATTAGACAATCCCTTTCAGCCTGAAATGGGAGTTCAAAGTGTACAAATCATGTAAATGTTCACAAATTATATGCAGTAGAGTACATTAGTACAGTATGTTCCCTAGACTATCCATTTCAATTTCTAATTTCTAAAAGCTGTTAAATAAACTTTATAAAATTAATTAGGTGAATAAAAAGCATCATTTGATTTATAGTTAAAACGGAAAATCATCGTTTGTAAAGTGAAAGGCATAGAGTCTATGTGAAACCAGCCTATTTCATAATTTTGGTTTCTTTTAATATTAATTTTAGGTTTTCTATAAAAGATATTCCAGGGCCCAAGAGATTATATAGCACAAATATGTGAAGTACAGCTGCAGTATGGAAACAGCACAACAAAATTGCCGTTTCATAATTTTTTCTAGTAAATTCCACTCTAATATATATTCTATTCTCTTTGATTAAAATTGTCAGAATTTGTATGGACTCTTCGTTTTTAACAATTTTATAAATGCGAAAATGCGAAAAAATTGACATTAATATGAATTCAAGTATATGTCTCAAAACCAGGATATGTTCCAAAAACGCGACAAGAGCTGAAATGCTGTATTTGTTTCAAAATAGGGATATGTTAGAAAATGAAAGCATAATCAAAAAATAATTCTTACACCTTACTATTAGTTTAAAATTGACATTTAATGTTTAAATTTATAATTTTAGCCATTTTTAATGAATGTATGGTGTAGTTTTGTTCGGCTCGGCTTGGATTTAAAGATATATGCATATATATGCAGATTTGGCCCATTTATAACACTGAATGTTAGAGCTTTACCCCAGACCGGATTACCTGAATGTTCTACTATTCTTCCTTCAACCATTAAACTACAGGTGTAGCAGTTTATTTCATGAATCTTGTGACAACCCCAGCTGCGGGTCTCCTAATAATTATTCTTATAACCATTTTAGTTTTATTAAAACATTTATCTTTTAACCAATAATTTTATAACTTTAAGAAAAGGAATTTTTCAAAGCTTTTTCAGTATTTTAACCATAACTCTGAAACTTTCACCAATGGGTATATTTTTTTCAATTAACCCCCGAACTTGATTTTTTGTTAGTTTGATCAAGTTAAAATTTAAAAACTGAGAACTGGGAACACTTATATCTGGCAGCACATACACAACTTGGAATACCTTCTCGATTCCAAATGCTTTGTTAAACTTCTTTGTAAACCGGTTTGATATCTCTGTGAAAGCATCAATCAGGTCATCTGTAGTGTCCTAGGAAAATTATTTAAGATTTTATTAATTCGATTCATTCATGACTTGTGCTTTTATCTGAATCAAATTAATTCATATACATTATGTAGACATCCTTATAGACTAAAAATTTCACTAAATGGTTATTAAATCCATTCTATATCTTTGAAAATGAAATGAAATGTCTATTTAATGGCACATAAATATTTTTAGATCATAAAGCACTACCCACCTGAGAACTGTCAGGCCCAATCTCCTGCAACGATGTTTTGATAGTCATCAGTACCAACATGAAGCTATTAAGATGGAAGAAAGTATCATTGACTCTAAACTTCTGCTGGACCACAGTCTTATCTCCTGAAACAAATTGTATTATCAACATTGTAATATTACTTAAAGTAAATGGAGGTTAGTGATAAGGATCTTACCGCTGATAAAAAATTCCAGTGCATATCCATTGATGGGAAGTTTCTCAAGTTTGGGCAAAGCTTCAGTGACCAACTCCCTCCTCAGATTTGACGAGAGTGTATCAATAGTATCATCTGATATACTGGTCACACCAGCCAATTCTGCTAGTGGGTCAACAAAACCTGTGTCAGGGCAATCATGTTTCAGACCAGACAATGGTAGCACAGATTTGTAGTGAGGTTTGTAGAAAAGATTTGCAGCTGTATGCAGAAATTCGTGATAAATCGAATAAATGGACTTGTTGTAGTTATCTACAGATGCTTGTATGTCTGCTGGAAGGGGAGGTAAGGCTTCTTTTTTGCTAGGAGCTGGAACCATCCCAAACATATAGTTGAGAACTAGGACAAGAGTTCGCAGAGATTTCTCTGTGATCTCCTGCTTACTGTTCCTGGTGATTAAACTGTGCAGAACACCCTCCTAGAGATCAGATTAGATTTCATATTTCAAGGAAATAAAGAACTTGTGAATGATAAGTAAGAATTAAACTTGTTATGGGTCTTGTATAAATAATTAAAATATTAAATTACTCATGACTTTCCATTGAAACTTTTATGTAAATATGAAAGTAATTTTAACCTGTAGTAAATGGCAGAACGCAAAGTTGTAAGGTTCATGGAAGGAGAGATGAGTTACAATCCCTGAAAAACCACGAGCATGTCCGGCTTCATCTAAGTAGTCCTGCGCCAGGAGAAATTCTACCGCAAACAGGAAGAAAATCTGCAGCTGAGTAATAATGCTCTCGTTCCTTAGAACTAGAAGTGGATTATTCAAGCTTCCCAAAGCTTTGGCTATGGCATCTTTTCTGTCTTCTGGAGACTGGGTATCACTTGTTAGTAAGAACAACCTCAGAATCTTTGAGATGGAGGTGGGACTGTTCCCTGATATAAGAGGTAAATTGCTGTTCATCAGTCTTGCTATCTTAGATTCTCGGATTCCAAAGAAAATCACATTTCCCTAGTCACAAGGTTGTCATTTTAAAAAAACAACAATTAGAAAACATGTGTTACATGCAAATCAAAAAAATGCAGATAAAATATAAAAACAAATTAAATTGATCATTACTCAGGGTCTATATTCTATAAATACCATTTTCAGAAGAAAAAAAACTTGCCTGTTGATCAAATCCTCTCCTGCCTGCCCTGCCAGAACATTGATGGTAGTTCAAGCTGTTTAAAAAAACAGAATCCCCAGCAAATACAACAGTTTGACATGGCATATGTATGCCTTGGGCAAGGGTAGTGGTGCAAACAACTAGATTTAGAAACTTCTCTCTGAACAACATCTCAGTTGTTGATCTCATCTTGCTATTATTACCCGCATGGTGGTATGACATACCATATTTCATTAACTCCATGTACTCTTTTTTAACTAGCTTCAGGTTGGACATAATATTGAACATGGAGTCCCTATCAAGGTTGTTTGGTCCGACAAGTGTTTGCAGAGGGAACTCTTGATAAAGACTCATTAGCTTCTCGTAGGGAGAGATATCATCTACACTGGTAATTGCAAGGGAAACTGCATTTACATTTTTCCTCGTTTTCTCCGACTCTGCAGCCTCATTTTTCTTCTTCTTTATGATTTTCTTCATTGCCTTCTCAATCTTCTCTTTATTTGCCTGTTTCTTCTGATATTCTTGTGTATTCTTAATTTCCTCTATTTCTTCCTCAAATGTATCACTAACTTCTGCAGGAAGACGGACACAGTATCCTCTATCAAATGTGAAGACTAGAGCAGGCAGCATATTTTTCTTCTGAAGCGTTTTCACTAGTGCAGGGAAGTAATCAATAAGATAGTTTCTTTCATCATAAATCCCGGCTTGATCCTTCAAACATATTTTGAAGTAAAAGACAATAGAAACCTAAAGAAATTGTCTAAACAACTGCATTAAAAGAATAGAGATCAGTTATATGAATATTAAATTGTTTATGCGAATCCTCAACTTTAATGATGAACTGTTATGATGTAACATGGGCAGGGGAGATTATTTTCCGTTTCTCATTGAATCAAAAATTAAGAATGAAATCATTGGAAACCTTCCAAATAAAATAAAATCAGAACAATAGAAATAAGAGCATTTCTGAGGTGAAAATGTTAAAATTCAGCTTCAAAAATTCCTTAGTGAGTCCAGGAAAGTGAGTGATAACTTCATTCAGCTTCTCCATGTTTGCCTGGCTATTCTCAAGCTTCAAAATGAATGAACTGATTGAAGAATTAAATATCTGAATATCTGCTCTATCCAGGAACCTGTTTCTCGGAAATAGCATGAGAGGATCCACATTTTGGACAGCATCAACCCCAAACTTGTCAGCCATTACATCAAACAAGTCTAGACATTCAGATGGAGAGAATGTCATGCACTCTGGAAAACTTCCTTTATTCAATAATTCTTGAGCATTGAGGTAGGAGATAGGGTGTACATAAGTGATTCCATCAGTTCCATCCTCATCACTGTAATACTTGTATTTCACAAGATCTGAGTGACGTTCTATCTTACCACTCTCTGGAATCATCCTGACCTTGTAAGACCTTCTCATCTCCCCCCTGCCACTAGCTCTATCCATCTCTTCCTTATAGTTCTCTAGAGTCTGCAACCAATTTAGCAGATCCTGAACATATTAAGTGTGTGTAGAAAAAAAACTTTATTTTTTTGTTTATGCAGAGGCCAAATTTAAAGAATTTGAGCCGCGGCTTAAATTTGAGGCGAGGCTTAAAATGTTTCAATGTTTCAAGATTTAAGCCCGCACTCTATTGAAACCGGTTTTTGGCGGATTTGAGAAGCGGCTCAAATTCATTAAATTCAGACTCAGGGTAGTTAAAATTGATCCTACCTTTGGGTTCTGCACAGTAGCGGAGAGTGCAATTACAGGACATCTAAAATACAAGTATCAGAGAAAAAGATTTGGCACTTCTAATGTTCATAACAAAATATCCAGCATGGGTTTAACTCACAAAAACCATTAATTATAAAAAAAAATCTTTGACTGCTTTTTCAATGCATGCGCGTATCTGAACATACGTTTCCAAAGATATTTCACAAAATTAGAGTTCTCCATTGGATCAGGATTTACCTGATCAGACTTAGAATGTTCTCCCAAACCTCTCCTCGGGACTCTCCACCAATATTATGAATCTCATCAACGATAACATATCTGAGCTTCTTGGTCCACTGAAACTGTATGGGACACAAGAGAAGGATTTCCAAACACTCTGGTACAGTAATCAGAATCTGACAGTCTGTTGTGTTAAACCTATGATAAGGAAGGGTCTGAGTTAAGTTCTGTTAGTAGAAAATCAAATTTCTTTTGACAAAATGCAATTGAGCAGGATTTACATCTAAATATATGTTCTTTTTCAAACCACAATCTGAGAGATTTGAATTTATTATGAATTCTTTCACGTCTTTGATAAATGCAGTCTTAATTTACTCATTTCCCAGGAGCCAAAGATGTTTAATTCACAGCAGTAACTTAAACTGTGCACAAATTAAAGATTAGGAAAGAGGGGTATTTATAAAATTTCTAAGCATTGATGATGACAAATATTGTCCACTTCCTGTGTCCGAATTTAATGAATTTGAGTCGCGTCTTAAAAATACTAATTTCTTTAAAAAAAAAATACATCTGTAAGGGTGGACTACTTCAATTCACAACAAAAAATGTTAAAGAACCCCAAACTAACCTGTAATCTCGAGTGAAAGTACCGTAAACACTTTTCCCAGGAGGCAAGTTCTGTTTCCTAAAGTTGTAAGAATGAAAAACATTGCAGATGGTCTGGGGGGGTTCATAACGGGGCCTCTTTATCAGATTTCATTTCAAATTAGTTCAAATTAGATTAAAACTATTAATTAAAACTATCAATACATTTAAACAAATTAACCATGGATGACATAGGAACATTAAATTGTAAAATCATTTATTTACCAAAAGAAGTTAGTTTTCAATTTACCTTTTGCTGAAACGTGCACACACTGTTGCGGCAACTTAACAGTAAAATTTTAGGAGATATATTTTAATTAAAGTATCATAAACAGAAAGATAAATTTTCCCAGTCTTTTAACTATATTCTTTTACAATTAAGAAAAATTTTGCTTTACAGAAAAATGACTTGATGCTGTTTATACTTCTATTAACAACTTTCAGATAGATTTTAAAATGAGCCACACATAACCGGTGATAAGAATTACCTTGATTAACTAGGGCTTTAGTAGGAGCAACAAAGACAGCCACCCCATCATCACTTTCCCTGAGCACGCTTTCCATAGCATAATATGCAGCATAGGTCTTACCAGAGGAGGTAGGAGCAATTATAAGGGCTGACTCCTGAACACATACAGGACAATGTATTATTCAATGCATTGAGAGAGAAAATATTGGGTCTTCTCATTTGCCTTTTGGCAATTTTCCGCAAAAAACAAACTTAAATTATGTCATATTCTTTTCATACATATAAACATGGCAGTTTTTACGGCCATATTTCTTATCCCTTCTGATAAAAAAAGGATGAGGCAATTTTTCAAAATATGTAAAACTTTGGAAATAAACCTACCCTAGCATCAATTGCATCAAAGATGTCCCTCTGCCATAAGTCAGGGTTAAAGTTCACTCTGGGATCAGATTCATTTGGGGCAGTCTTAGTAATGTACTTCTCCATTTTCTTTAGTTGATATCTAGAAAAATGGACATTCACATAATAAATTGTTAACACTAAAATCCTGGAAAAATATGTTGTGACAAAAAAATATAAATGTAAGAAAAAGTACCTGATGAAATTTCCTGTTCCCTTTTCTGATTGTGGTTCAGCCTTACTCTTATTGATCTAATAAAAAGTTTGTTTTCAGTATTCCTTTATAGTCACCTCCCTTCCCCAAATGTAAATTTACTCCATAAGGAAAAAAGAAACCTAGTGAAAATTCAAAAACTATATCTTTTTAATGTGATTAATACATTGTCATCTTTGAATTCAGCTCACAATAGCAAAAATAGTTGCATTTGACTTATTTCACGGATTTTTTTTTTGGAAAAAGAATGATATTGTTTTTATTTCAGAGATCAGAGAAGGACGAATATTTACTCAAGACATTAAAGTGGATTTCATTTAGTTTTTCTTTCTATAATCACATTACAGTTTGAACTTTTGTTTAAATAACCTATACCAATAACATTAACTCAATCTCCGTTGATCAGCACTATTGGGAATTTTTTGATTAAAAATCAGTGAAGTTTAGACGCTCGAATTTTTTGAAACTATTGGTCATTTGAGTTTCTTTCATTCTGTCCATGTAAACTTTCCCTGCTCACCTTGTCTTGCTTACTGCAGGTGGAAGCTTTAACAGCTTTCTTGGAACCTGGTCCAGAATCGTTTTCAACAGCTTGAGAAGCTAATCCTGCACCCAACTCTTCACAATCTGGTACATATTTCATCATAATTAAAACAAACGATGATTATTTTATTGTTTTTAGCAAGATGCATCACTTAAAATACACATTTTGTAATAATGCAAGAAAACTACAGCTTAAACTTGGCAGAATTTCTTAAAAATTTGGCAGAATTGTTTCCAATTTAGAGAAATTGAGGTGGTTCAGAATGCCTGACCCAAATTAGTTCTGTTGAGGAATGGTGCAGAACTCTCTGAATTTGTTGTTTAAAATGTTCAAATCTTACCTATCTCCTTAGTATACTTGACAACATCCTCCATGAGTTCAGGTTTGAACTCTTTGATAACATTGATGTTATTCTTTATATGAAGCAGCATCTTGATCTTGGTGGCATCAGAGGGGTTTTCCTTCCATGCTTTGTACCTAGTTTAAACAGTGTTCAGAATCTAGATCCACATAATAATGCGCTCCTTAGATTCAGATCGTGTAAAATATGCAGATCTACGTATCCCAATCCAAAGACAAATGGTAAAATATCAACCCAAAAAACTTGTAGACTCAAATATTTTGGTGGGTCCTAAGCACTGGTGTTGGTCAATGGGCAACGTTCGGAGAAACCAAATGCTTAGGTAAGATCTTTCATTTTACGGCAGATTCAGACCCCTGATCAAGAAACCCATAAAAGCATAATATTGCAATACCTGAGCTTAAGTATACTGTAAACTAGCTTCTGAATAAGAGGAGTAAAACTTGCCTTTAACTCATTATCATCCTACAAAAACTTATATTCTTACAGGGAGGAGATATATTATGAAGAAAATTCCAAACGATTTAAAAGAAATTTATGTTAAGTTGATTCTGCTACTTGGTGAGATGTTACAATAGTAAAAAATTTCAAATATGTAATGTTCTATTGTAGATAGAATAAAACATAATAATATGCAATGCGAAGCTTTCTTATTTTTACCTTTTCAATGTCAGCCAAAACCTTCTTGTTTTGTTTCTGCCCTGCCTTGCCTTGCAAAGAGGAGAGTTGGGCCTGAAGGTTTGAGAGTTTAATCTTAAGCTCTTGAAGAACATCTTCTTGTTCTTTAACACCTTCCTTCCTGCACATCTTCACCCTCTCCTCCAACTTACTGTACCCGCTCTTCACATCACTCACCAGCTAATTTACAAATAAAATTTCAGATATTATTAGAATTCTTGCAGAACACCACAAACCTTTTTTCTCAGTAGTTCAATGGCGCTTCCACTTGTCTTGGCCTCCTTTTCTTTTTTCTTATCCACTTTCTAATAACAATTAAATTCAAATAATATTCAGAGTTTAAAATGAGGAAGTTAATTTCTGGAGAATAATGTCCTCCCCTCCATATTGGGAAAACTTTGTTGTTTAATTGCTGAATTGTAGCTTTTGGGATATTTTTTATGTGTAAATTGGAGTTTATTTAGCTGGCATAAAGAGTTCCCTAAAAATTTGGGATATTGTTTATGTGTAAATTGGAGTTTATTTAGCTGGCATAAAGAGTTCCCTAAAAATTTGGGATATTGTTTATGTGTAAATTGGAGTTTATTTAGCTGGCATAAAAATTCCCTAAAAATTTGGGATATTGTTTATGTGTAAATTGGAGTTTATTTAGCTGAAGAGTTCCCTAAAAATTTGGGATATTGTTTATGTGTAAATTGGAGTTTATTTAGCTGAAGAGTTCCCTAAAAATTTGGGATATTGTTTATGTGTAAATTGGAGTTTATTTAGCTGAAGAGTTCCCTAAACATTTGTATTCTATGATGTAACTTAAAGTTAAAGGGTGAGAGTTTTAATCCTTGGATATTTATACCTTACAAATAATAGGATCGTCCTTGATGTTTGATCCTTCAAGGGACTCCCCATATCTTTGCATAAATCTGGAGTACATCTGACCAGACTTACCACCTTAAAGGAACAGTTGTTTATCAAGTAACCCTCTATTCAAAGAAGGGCATACCCTATTCTCAAGGATACCCTCCAACTTTTATCTGCTAAATGAGATCGTTTCTCCAGCCTAAAACATGCCTAAAACTGATAATGTTTCCATTGTTTCTGTTGGAGAAATTTGCATGTCAATTTTGCCAAGTGACACAAACATTCTTGATCAGTTACTTCTTTTATTTATTCTTGATCCAACAATGCTTTTGAGGGATCATTGTGAATCAGACATGCCACTCTGTAAATGGTAGGTCACATAAAATTATGTTTTCAGCCCCGTTTTAAGCATCAAATCTAAATTAGAATAAACTTTATATCACTCCTCTATATATACTTACGATCTAATTTTTTTCTTCAGTTTTACACTTTCACATATATTTATTGAACGAAAGATTATAAACAAATAAATATCTAAAACGATTAACCGGCAATTAAACTAAAATACACTATAGAATATTACTTACTGTCTTTACAAAAGATTATGTTTGGTTAAGAATATTACTTACTACACTACTACTGGTTATGCATAGTTAAAACTATTAATTACTGTACTTCCTTATGTTTATTTTTAGTTAAGATTTAAGAATATTACTTGTTGTAGCTACTACTAATTATTCTTATTTTAGGATATTACTTCATGTAGTTACTACTGATTTTTCTTAGTCAAGAATAATACTTACTGTAACTACAACTGATTGTACTTATTTGAAGATATTACTTAATTTAGTTACTACTGAATACTGATTATTCTTATTCTTAGTTAAGAATATCACTTACTGTAGTTACTACAGAGTATTCTTGTTTAAGGAGATTACTTACTGTAGTTGCTACTGATTATTCTTAGTTAAGAATATCACTTACTGTAGCTACTACTGATTATTCTTATTTGAGGATATTACTTACTTTAGCTACTACTGATTATTCTTGTTTGAGGATATTACTTACTGTAGTTCTACTGCTACTACTAATTATTATTATTTGAGGATATTACTTACTGTAGCTACTACTGATTATTCTTATTTGAGGATATTACTTACTTTAGCTACTACTGATTATTCTTGTTTGAGGATATTACTTACTGTAGTTTTCACTGATTATTCTTAGTTAAGAATATCACTTACTGTAGTTACTACTGATTATTCTTATTTGAGGATATTACTTACTGTAGTTACTACTGCTTATTCTTTGTTCAGAATATGACTTACTGTAGTTACTACTGATTATTCTTATTTGAGGATATTACTTACTGTAACAACTACTGATTTTTCTTGTTTATGGATATTACTTAGTGTAGCTACTAATGATTATTCTTATTTGAGAATATTACTTACTTTAGCTACTACAGATTATTCTTATTTGAGGATATTACTTACTGTAGCTACTACTGATTATTCTTATTTTAGGATATTACTTACTGTAGCTACTACTGATTATTCTTCTTTGAGGATATTACTTACTGTAGTTTTCACTGATTATTCTTAGTTAAAATATCACTTACTGTAGTTACTACTGATTATTCTTATTTGAGGATATTACTTACTGTAGCTACTACTGATTATTCTTATTTGAGGATATTACTTACTGTAGTTACTGCCATTCTTTATCCTGTCAAACTCAGAAGATATTTTCTTGTTACTGTGCCAATGCTTTTCTTCATCGAACTGCTTGTACCTGTTCAGAAATCAACAAGTGAACATACATACCAGGGAAAATACAAGTGAAGAAATTAAAAGTAACAAAATAATGAAATAGCGACATATTAAGATGATCTGAAAAAAAATTCGCGTTTAAAAAACTAGCTGTACAATTTCATTAGATTTTCCAAAGCGTAAAGCCTGCGATATACCTCGGTTGTAAATTGTTTGTAGCAGGTATAATTCTATCCTGTGGGAACCAGTCCAGTACTTCCTGCAATTAAAAACATGGAACCCTCCTTATTCTGGCATCTTTGATATGGTGCTAGAAGCTATCGACACCAAAAATTACAAATCCATGTGGAACTCGTTAAATCAAGAGCATTTTCAGGTCTAAAGTTAAACATAACTGTAGTCTTATCAGTTTATTCTGTGTTTTTTAACCGTAAAGTTTTGGCCTCCAAATTTTCTGACCTTACTTACACAGTCATAAACCAAAATTCAAAGCCTTTAGTCCAGAAGAAGTTTAACCTGTAGCTTATAAATCAACTTGTTAAGTAAAATAGGAATGTGTACACAGTAAAAATCCTGTGATTCATGTTTACCAGAGTCCGAAATTAATAAAGAACCTGTCAAATCTTTCGTTGGGATGTTTAGAAAGATGAAAATTTCCCTGTATGATAATTGAAGGACTGCAGTATGGTTTTGGTGAATTATTAATTAAACAATATTAAAGGATTGATAAACTTGAAGCCAAGGATCCTAATTAAACAATATTAAAGGATTGATAAATTTGAAGCTTAGGATCCTAATAAACAATATATTAAAGGATTGATAAATTTGAAGCCAAGGATCCTAATAAACAATATTTAAGGATTGATAAACTTGAAGCCAAGGATCCTAATTAAACAATATTAAAGGATTGATAAACTTGAAGCCAAGGATCCTAATTAAACAATATTAAAGGATTGATAAACTT